CCCATCCCGATTTCTCGGTTCACCATGTACTAGATTTCTTACAACTCGTCTTTTCGATCGGAAACTCCAAAACTCCGTTTCTACCGGTTTCTCAAACGGTGAGCCTCGCGAATCCACCAGAGACCCTGGAAATACATTTTCCATCCAACGAAGCAACCGAAGAAGGATATGTCTGTTTAACACCGACCCAATCGACCAAAGTGCGCACCTTGGGTGCAAAAAAAAAAAAAAAAAAAAAAACAAGGAAAGCGAGCTCGTATCGGCTCTTGGCATGGTGAAAATCTCCTACGTGTCCACCGGTACGATACACCCATACACGAGAATAAGCAGAGAGAGAGAGCTGACTCCGCAGCCCTAGGGAAGTCGGAGGGAGATTGACCGGAGGCTCGAGACGTGTAACATCCTGGGAACAGTCGGATCGATCCTCTGCTCTCTCTCTCCCTCTTCTGGGCGATGCACGTATAACGTCGTACACACGTGCGAGTGTGCCCCGCTGCACGTATTCCGGATATAGAAAGGAGATGGAGGATTAATGGCTCGCAGGAGGAGCCCAGAGATCGGAAGAGCCGTCATAGCAGCACGCGAGCATATATCCTCTATACCGCGCGCTGCTACAATAACGCTTTCCAATGCACAATAAGAGAGAGGTAACGTATATATATATATACACATCCAAGATATGCAAAACCAGGCCGCGTTCCGATCATCTTCGGAGGCCCGTGGGGTGGTTGTGGGCCCCCTGTCTGCCATCGGGGGATACACACGCCCGAGCGAGAGGGAGACGAAACTGCGGCAGGCTCGAATAACCCGAGGATGAGAGTAGAGTAGCAACAGCCAGCAGCAGAGAAGAAGAAGGGTTCGAAGACGAACACATGTTCCGGGCATTTGCATACCTCTCTCTCTCTCTCTCGGCCAATTTCCATACGAAGAAATTTGCATCGTACGTGCATCTCTCGACCTTAACTTACATATATATATATATCCATACAAACGGACCCACACACCCCTTCCGATGATGATTCCTCCGTACTGTTTGTGTGAGCGTATAAATATATATATATACACATAAGCAATACACGCGTGTTCTCGTTTCGAAGATGCTATGCAGCGCCGGATGGATCGGAGCCATCACCCCGGGTTCCCCCTCGTAGGAATAATATATTAAGGGGACAAAGTGCCATTGTGCGCATGTGTGTACGAGGCTGCCGCTGGTCGGGGACGAGAGTGTGTTTTCTTTTTTCACGTGGGGGGGGGAGGGGGGCAGGCGTCACCGCCAATCTGTCGCGCCCCTCGAGTGGCCTTCGATTATATCAATCGGCTGCGTGTGTGTCGATGTATCGGAGGGCCCGTCGATAATCAGCCGCACAATGACTGTGTGTCGGGGCTTATTGTGAGAGCCGCGTGTATCGTCTCATTAAAAATCGATTCGGGGATCATGCGGTGGAGCTCTCGAGTGCCCATTACGTAAACGCTGCTTTTTCATCAGCCGTGCCGTGCGAGAGATTTACTTGCCCAACTGTGTTTGCTTACATGGGCCGGTAATGAGTTTTTATAGGATCGAGGATACATTTATGCGAGTCTTGAGTGTTTTTTTTTTTTTTTTTTTTCGACAATTATTGGACAGCATCGTTCACCGCACATACAGCCTTGTAGTTTAATCGGTAAAGCGACCGCCTACGAATCGGTGTAGAGAGCAAAGTTCGATTCTTCGCTGCGAGTGTGACGTACAAACTAAAGAGACATAAATAATATGAAGAGGAGTAATTTAGTTTCTTCGTCCAATGTGAATGCATTGTGATTTTTTTTTTTTTTTTTTTTTCAAAGAATCGTTTTGCGAAACAATTGTCAATGAAACAGCGGCGGGACAACAGAAGATGTAACATTAGAAGGTGGCATGAAATAAAGGTACAGCAATGTAATGTTTATATCGCGCAGTACGCGTATAGTTAATACTTGTATGGCGCGGTAGGGGCGCGAGCTCGAGTAATCTTTGGTAAACGATATTTATATATATAAGGGGCCGGCTAAACTCGTTCGACTTGGTAATACAAGACCAGTAACTGTTACGTATCATGTATATATATACTTACTGCCGGGATATAAGAAGAGGAAGAACGGGCGCGGGGGAGGAAGAGCGGAAAACGAAGAGAGTCGCGTTAATAAAAGACACGCGCTGCCGAGAGGACTCGCATCGCGGCTATTACAATCCGTCGGACTCGCCTGGAAGTGTTTCTTCTCTATTACGCGTATATATACGCAGCCGGGCGCATTGTCGTTACTGTAGTATATAGTCGTCGGCTCGAGTTACCCAATTCAACGATGGACTCGGCGAGGACGCGAGAGTAGAGGTATACGTATAGCGGTCCGCGGCTAATGGATATCGCTTTTCGTCCGAACACGTCCAAGCGCCTGATCCCCCCCTCCTCCAGGTCATGTATATATATATATATAAGTGTACGTACGGAAGGTTACGCGCCGCGGCTTTCGCGACAATGGGAAACCCGAGGCTTTTATTTACCTGCGCGGCCCGACTTTTCTTTCCACTCCTCTCGATTTCTATGCAGCCCTTTTTCTTCTTCCTCGGGTGAGGCTGCAGTTGTACCCGTTTCAAGTGTACCATGTAGCAGCAGCGCCTTGACTTATTTTCTGAACATGTATATATACAAGTACGGAGCCGTGGAGTTCGATTGGCCACCTCCTCCCTCGCGAGTTCGTTGTGTTTCTGGGCCATTGGACTTGGTTGCGCGGTACAAGGTGTCTTTTCTTTTTTCCCACAGACTCGACTCGTTTTTCACGCTTTCGTTGGGAGGGATAATAATTTCCAACGTTATTTTTGTACCCATCGTGCCCCCCTGCCTATAGCTCTAAAAGTGTATACCCGCGTAAGAGCTCGCGGAGCGCTTCATTGTATAAATGTTTAATGAACGAGGCTGGCTGTCACATCAATCTACTTTTCGGGCGTATAAATTTTTCCGGAGGCCCCTGGGAGAGCATGAAGTGCGTGTGCACAGGTGATTTTGAATTTGGCATTCCCATAGCCGCGCTCACCCTCATCGTCGCGATTAGATGCAAATATGTTGATCCACCATCTGCTGTATCATCTTCCCGCGTTCGTCAGTTTGTTGGTTCTCACATAATATAATATGAATCGGAAGTGGTGCTGAATTTCTATCTTTTTTTTTTTTTTTTTTTTTAATCGTATGCACATCATAATCAACAGAGGAGGAGAGGGAGACGCGGCATTAGGCGCCGCAGCGAAAGAGAGGAGATACTCGGGCTGGTAATGCTAATCTGGTACTCATCGATCCGCAACCCCTTTCTTCCTCGCACGGGCCGATCGGAAGAAGAGACACGCACTACACCTGGTTGAACGAAGGGTCCCCCCTCCTCCCCTTCGATGTCGCTGCATATGTACATCAGCTACCTTCTCCGACGCTCCGATCGTACTCTGATGCTTTTTTTGCTGGATTTCCGATTTTTTTCCGATTTCCCTTTTTTTTTTTTTTTTCCTCCCTCCACACCGTTTACCTATACACAGGGAGAGAGAGCTATAGCAAAGGTGTTTCCAATGCGACTCGACGTAGGTGTGTATATCAACGACGAAAACGTGACTGCGTTCGAGGGAAACATAAAAAGAAGAGAGGGAGAGCCGCCACCCCTTCTTAATTGTGATCTCACTCTTCTTCTTTTTTTTTTTTTTTTTTCATAACAACCTTCGATGTGGGTCTTCATCCCCCACTATGTCTCTTTTGCTCGTCGGGAGTGCGTTCGGATACCTCGGCGTGCATGCGCTGGCACGTATATATACATCCGCGAGCGCGTTACATACACATAGGAGTATATAATATGGTAATGAGGCCCGGCACTGCCAGATATGTAAATAAGTTGGATTTGAGTTTTGTTGGGCCCGGGAGCAACTTCGATGGGAACCTATTGGGTGCGCTGTGTATACGGACACGTACATATACGAGAGCCGAAAGGCGAGAGAGGAAGCGAGAAATCGGCAGGACGAAAATATACACTAGTCGCCGCGATCGGAGGAGCAGTTTACGTATATACAGGCGTGTAGTGTGCAACAACCGGGAAGGAAGAGGGAGGAGGGCCGTATATAAGCGTCTTATAGTGGCTCCGGTGTGTCATATATATACCGCGTCGTCCGTGTACTCGATCACATGACGGTGCACACCGCGCGATCCAGATTTATTGGTCGGAGAGAAGTGTGTGAACGGAAGCCGGGGATTTGACGGGCACTACATCGATACTCGTTCCTTGGGCCCTACTCTTTAAATGGCTCCTTAATCCACGTGCTTATTCACTTTATTCCTTCCTCCCCCGGACTTTTTCCATTTTTTTTTTTTTTTTTTCGTCCCTCCTCTCCTCTTCTCGATCGAGAATCGTCGAATCGACCTTTTTTACGTGCAGCCTGGAATTTTCCACTTTAGTCAAAGTTCTTTTGATAAACATTTATTCCACGGTGTAATTAATTATAAATAATTACGAGGCAAAAGGATGGTGTGCGAACAAACTCGGCGTCACGCGCGCATCACCTATATATATACGCACACTTTATACATGTGTGCGCTCATGTATATATATGTATAGGTAGATGCGCAATATAAATTAGCATAAGGGTTGTTAACGCGTGAGAACAAACTCGCTCTCCGAAAGAAGCGTCGTCGTCCTCACGTGTATATATACTTGTGCGTGCTATCCGTCATCCTAATACTATGGATTTGAATTTCTAAGCCGCAAAAGTCTCGATTGAATGCCGGGGGACACTGACTCCGCATCTCGTTGTATTATAGAGCCTGAAGTGCATAATTACCGATTTCAGGCCCGGCATTGAAATTATATGCTAAGCGCGTGTGTGTGTGTCTCTTTTTGCCATTGGGATGTGCGTGTATTGTGCTGCTCGGGCTTATTAACTATTGTGGAATTTACATTGTAGGGACGAGAGTATCAATCAAATCTCTGGTTGGTGACATTTTTTTTTTTTTTTTTTTTTTCAAATTATAATTTACAATAGTTTATTGCGCCGAACTTTCGCTCGTCGACATTAGAATCTCTATCAGACACTTGAAGTATTCCGAGACCACGATGCAGCCGCCCTCGAATTTGTTGGCTAGAAATATGAGGTGGAGTTTTGAAATTTCAACATTTTTCAAATTAAATTCGATCACTGCAACTCAATTACCATTGTCGACGCACGTGTAAAAATCGTCCTCGTTCATGTGGGTGATGTTGGCTATTTCTTTGAAGGCCGAGTGCACGCTCGATATCATCTCCGCCTTGATGATTTTCTCGTTCTCTCCCATCTTTTGGCACAACGAAAGAAATTTTTTTTACGAGTAATAAAATTGTATGATCGAGAATCGTTATTACCATGCCGGTCTTTCTCCACATGCACGCCGTGACACAATTCCCCGGCACCTCGTGGGGCATCGCGAAGCTTCTCTTGGTCTCCTCTTGGGGTCGAAACAACGCGTACAGGAAGCTCGATTTTATACAAATAAAAAAAGAAAAAAAGATTGCATTTAACAAAACGTTACGTTACCAACAAGCAGGCCAACCTCGGCGGCGCAGAACTCAAAGTGCTGATTCCAATCCGGCTCGGTGGCATCGGTGGGCATACACGCGATGAACTGCTGCAAGCACAAAAACGCGAAATTTCCACATCAGATGGTCGAGGAACAAATCGCCTCAAATGTTGAGTATTTACCGCATGAAAAGTGAAAAAAGTAAGGAGCACCGTCGCTGCCGCTGGTACCATCGTAAACTTCATTCTTCGATGGGTATACCTAATTTGCACGACGCAATGCAACAAAACGTAAAACACACGCACGCGAGGGAGAAAAAAAAAAAAAGGTATGCACGTACAAACTGTATACGCGAGGCAGTGCCACAACGTGTTTCACCGAATGACTAATTGCAATTGAAATGTGAGGTATTTATACGTACCCCGAGTTGGCAAATTGACGTCATTGCTTGGAAAATAAAAAAAAAAAACCACCACCGCGAGAATGAAATAATACATATAATTACGGGTCGTATGATCTATTTCTCGTACACATGTAAGTGGTGATGTTGCATTTTAAATTCATTTGAAGAATGCCGTGTAACGCTAAACATACATATACATCTTCGTCGTCGCTTTGTTGCACACACGTATTATATACGAGCAACGCGTGATTATACATCGCGATAATATACCTTGTTTCTTCTCATTTTTTTTTTTTTTTAATAAATTCAAAATTCACACGTACGGTTGTAATAATAATAATAATAACAGCCACCGACGAGGCCTTATCGTCGAAATCTCGGAGCTTTTTTGAAAAGCAAATGCACTCTCGGCCCGGGAAATGGGCCTCGTCGATCGGTGATTCTTGTAGAAAAAAAAAAAAAAAAGATTTATTCGAATCGTCCAAACGTATAATTGCTGTCCTCGAGGCTCTCTGGAAATTTCCCTCGTTTCGCTCGAAACCCGCGAACATACGTGCGAATGATAATTTTCCCGAGGCAAGTAGGGAATCAGCCGTACAACGGCGGCCGGGCAAATGACTTGCGTTTTAAAAAACACTGGAAGCCACTTTGAAAGAGGCACCAGCGGAAAACAACAACAACGACAGCCGAGGGCGTCAACGAAGTTAAAATATTCCGAGCACACATTCGATTGTTGCAAGGAAAGTGTGTGTGTGTGTGTATATCGATCGGTCGCCCCGGTCGAAAGAACCGGTGCTCGAATGCAAATGAGTCGCGGCGTCGGTTGGACGAGGGCGCGCAAGACGGAAGAGTTCCTGCCCCGATAGAGATCGGCGCTCACACAATATACACACGTATAATACGGGGCATCCATGGGCCATCGTCATCGATCGGCCGATCGCCCGGTCGTCGCGCTCGAGGTGGCACCACCTGCCCCGTATACGTGCGCGATACACGGGGGGAAATACTTGCCGTATACGTGTGTGGGTTCACGTCACGCGTCTCTGAACAATGCCATTAATAGGCGGCCGCGCCGAGTTATTAATTGCCCCCGGCCACCGGATACGAGTGTCTACGCACATCCAAGCAATACTCGAGATTTTCCGAGTCGCGAAAACCGATCGGCAGAGTACAAGTAGGTGGGTATACATACATAACTTTTGTGTGAGTACCTACATAAATATACTCTTGGCATCGCGGCAAAGTAGCTCGTCGGCTCGCATTGTTCCGTGTACACACACACACACACATGTGCGCCTGTATCGCGATTTCGCCGAGAAATCAGACGCTCTCGGGCCCGATCTTTATGGTCGATCTTATTACCCCGAGGTAGGCCCCGGGAGACGTGCTCGCGTCATTAAGAACTGCCATAGTGCAGCGGTAGATGGGTATAAGGTGCGCTCCGTGGCCAAGACTGTCGAGCTGATTAATAGAGGACGGCTCTCTCGAGATAATCGAAAGGAAGTAACGAAATGAAAATAAGCCGCTCACGGTGTGTGTACGACGGCAGAGAGATTCCATCTTTCGTATACGGACAAACACGTATCGAGCTTCTGTTTAATGCTCGGTGCAGCCTTAGCTTGGGGCATTACGGGCATACCTCTCTGTGTTCGGTCATGTTTGCGCGATTATTTTTGCTGGAGCCGCGGTGTATACACAACATCTTCGAACACGCCCGTTGCGGATTTTTTTTTTTTTTTTTTTTTTTTTTTTTACCTCAAAAAGAAGGGTATAGCAAATTATTAAAGTACACGGTGCTCGGGTACCGTGACGAAAATATTACGTAGCATATACACAGCTCCGATACACCTGCTATCGACTATCGCCTCGTTGTTTTCTTGTCAATTAAAATTTTTAAACTTTAAAACGTACATTGCCATACTGTTCAAGTACAAAGGAGTACCTGTATTATATATGTACGTCCAAAGTGACTTTTCGACGAATAGAGAGAGAGAGGGGGGGGAAGAGGTAAAAAGTAGAGCGCCCGTATGAAATTCGAAATGCGAGTTGTTACAATGCCGGTTTGCTTTTAAAGTTCGACAATATACTCGTTCCTCCTGTACCTGCCTCTATACGTACACAGTTTTTTTTTTGTCCGCGGTGTGTCCTCGGTACATGTACATATATATATATGTACACCTAAAAGCCTCGTACGTATAGGCCGATCGCGAGGCCAGCGAGTGGGAAAGAGAGCGAGAGTGCAAGTATGGGCGACGCAAAGGAAAGCTTTGAGAGCTTAAAATGCTCGAGTTTTACACACGTGTCTGTATACATGCGCGTGTATTATATAAAGTGAGAACGGGGCGGGCTGTGCCCCTATACCATCTTCCACCGCATCAGTCACAAAGCGAAAGATCACCAAATGTGCGGAGAGTCCGTCCTCTGATAGCCGCCGTTCGACTATATACGACGTGTCATTACACCACAGACATTATCCACCTTCCTCTCGTTTTTTTTTTCTACCCCTCCCCCGACACCGTTTCATCTCTACGCTCATTTTTGCTCGCATCGATTTCAGCTACTACATGTACGCGCGCACCAGTCGTGTTCCGCGCGTAATTACACGTCTCCCTTCAACACTATATCATAGTTCCAGAGCCGATGTCTGTCTTTTATTTCAAAAGTTGCTCTCAGCGCGTAAATTTTTAATTATAACGACGAAAACGAACGATCGAGAGGGGGAAAAAAAAAAAAAAAAAAAAAAAACAGAGTGCGAAATTATTCAATGATATACACGCGTAAGCACGCAGTGTGCGTATATGTAGAGCCAGAAAAGCCAAAGAGCGCGAGGAGCGCGGCATCCGGCAATTTAATAATAAAATTTGACGATGCTCATTGAGGCGCCGCACGCACGATTTCGTCACATGGGCACACTGTTACGTACACGTACATGTATAACGGCAACACATTGGACAATGTATATGGGGGAGGGAAAAAAAAAAGAATAAAAAAAAATTTCCTTCTCAAGGCCCTTCCACGAGCGATACCTGCCTCGTTAAGCCGCACCTCGCCTGACCGATCGCAAATTAATCCCCCACCCCGACAACGTCCAATTAAGGTACACATGACGGTACGATCATCCAAGGAGCCACGTGATGACGTCTTTTAACACCCTATACACGTATAATATGATACATCGGCCACGCACGCACGTATACGTATAATCGTAGAGCGGTTATCGCGTGTGCGCGCCGCGTTTCCCCGAAAACGTCGGCAGAGCATCAACGGCGACAAGCTCGTCGAGTCCGTTTCGCTTCCGTTTGAAATTTATCGTCCCGTAGCTTCCTATATATACGTATAAGTAGGTACACGTGTACAACGAGCCACCGGTGCTCTTTCTCCTCGCGACTCTTTGCTCTTCGTATACGATGTACATACCGTGATAGGTGTATACATATACGTATACCCCGGTGAGGAGAAAACAATGGCTGTTAATGCCCGCAGGTTGTTGACTCGGGCGTGCGAGCTGTGGTGCAGCGGTGTACAGTTGTCACGATTCGCCGTCTTGTTTCAGCCGTCGACAGCACAAAATAAAACGGCACCCCCCTCCCCCCCAACCCCTACTCAGCTGTCGACTGTTGCTCGGAAAATTTTGGCTTTGCCTGGATTACAAAAGCACGACGAGAGGTGGATGGTGGTGGTGTGTGTGTGTATAATATATAGCAAGCTCGATGCACCGATTTTTCATTGCGCGGTGCGCCGTTTTCCTGCCGGTTGAGCCTTTCCGCGTTTGCATACGCGGCGAACAAAAGGAGCCACCCCCCTCCTCCCTCGCGGCTGACTCGACTGGCCCCGGAGGGTTTTTTTTTTAGGAATTGCGTTTGTGGACGCTGATGTGTGCACCATCAAAGGGGCAGGGGGCAGAACATAGTACAACCGTCGGAACGATGATTTACCTATACCTTGTCAACTGATCAACCTGATGCACTTTAATGGCCAATTAAGCTTGGGTTTGTGTCTTACACGCGTCACTTATATCTACCTACATAGTCTTATTAATCTGTACATCTTTAGTTTGTCTAACATACGATAATTACCTATCGTGCTGCCTGAGATGGTAGACTAGGTAACAATAGTGACTTACGAGTATTTGTGAAGAGAGGGGTTCGAGTCTTGATATTTCAGGGGGGTCGTAGCCCAGCATGCCTTGTTAATGACTAGGAACGGTAAATTAATGATTCCCACGCCATTGCCTAATTCAATGTCTAATTTTTTCATACTTTTCAAAATAACATTGTACTCATCTATAAAATGTGAAAATGTTGAAAGAGATGAAACTCCTTGATTTATTTTTTTTCTTTAACTAAAGTGCACTGGTATAGTAGAATCAACCGATATAACATTTATTTCAGAGGTTCTGAAAAAAAATAGTTAATTGATATTGAAAAGTGCGCGATTTTGAAGCCATGGTTTTTACAGTCGTTCGGGTGATAAACGCTACAGTCGTTGAGAAACGTACACTATAGTTTTTACAACTCTTTTACCCATGTTTTGTTGAGTTTGCAAAACAATTCAATGCCTACTGAAATTTTTAATTTTTTTTTACATTATTAACAGTTTCACTTTATTGACACATTTTTACAAATATTTTTTATGCTGAAAAATAACTCTTCTCCCGTGAAGATCATATTATACATTCTCTTACAAATGTATTCGGAATCAAAAACATATTTTACAATAAATTCTTCGATTTCCTCACAGCATTTTTAAAAAATTTGATTAATTTTTGTCATTTTGTCAGAAAAAAAANAAAAAAAAAAAAAAAAAAAAAAAAAAAAAAAAAAAAAAAAAAAAAAAAAAAAAAAAACAGATGAAACGTCGACGGACAAAGAAACTACTCAATCCAGCGAGCTTTTGACGAACACAATTGGAGACGATTTTCGGCAGGTTCGATATGAGAACACAGAGTGGGTAGGCCAGAAAAA